TTTTCGTTTGTCTTCTTTATCTTAGATATATCTTGATATAGAAATGTTACACACTCATCAATTGCGTATTCACACATGATTATAGCGCATATATGTGTAGATTTTCAAAGAAATAAAAATGCTTCCCAAACTTATCAACTAAAAAAAGTCTGGTGAAGCAAGTTAAAATTAGATCATAAAATACACAAAATTGAATACTCTTAGCAATGTCTAAAGAATAAAGAGTGTAGAAAAAGCTTTTCGATTTATAGTATTATTTTAGTGTCTTGCTCATATACATTTTTCACACATCATTTATTTTGTATCGATATACCGATAGAGGTAGAATCTTTTGATTACTACAATTTAACGTTTCCTTTCATTCAAACATATTAGTATTTCTCTGTGTTTATTCAGATTTGTCACTTTGTATTTCAAAAAATGGAAGATACAGCTCTATGCTAATGAATATTCAACTTTTTGAAATTTTGGGTTTATTTCATTTCTATCCTAAAGGAGAGTAGATAAAGGGAAAACTCTTTTCTAGAAACCACAATGGTAAAGATAAAGAGCCAGTCTTCGATCAGCATCCCCGAGGGCGTCTCGGTGGAGTTCAAGAACCGCATTTTGACCGTCAAGGGCCCTCGCGGCACTCTTACGCGAGACTTCCGCTACCTCCAGCTTGACTTCCGTGTAGATAACGTGAAGCGCACCTTCACCGTGATTCGCTGGTTCGGCTCCAAAATCCCGATCGCGTGCATCAACACAACCCTCTCCCACGTGCGCAATCTCATCTGCGGCGTCACCAAGGGCTTCCGCTTTAAGATCCGCAGCGCCTACGCGCACTTTCCTATCAACATCAACGTCGAAGGCCAGAATATCGAAATTCGGAACTTTCTGGGGGAAAAACGCGTGCGCCGAGTGCTTCTCCCGGACTCCATCAAAGTCTACCAAACCGACCCGTCTAAGGTCAAGGATGAACTAGTGCTTGAAGGGAACGATCTCGAGCAGGTCTCCCGCGAGGCCGCCGTCCTCCACCAGTTGTGCGCGGTCAAGAAGAAGGATATCCGTAAGTTCTTGGACGGTATCTACGTCCAGACGAAGACGAATGTGGAGGTTTCGGCTTAGAGTAGGCGATTGAAGGCAAGTAAGGTGAACTCTCATGGATGTGTTTCCTCTCTCCTTTCCCATTACCAAAATTTCTCCATTCTTTTCCTCATTCGAATGTTTTTTTGGGCTAAAAAAGGATTCTTTCTTAATTCTCAAAGGTGCCACCCGTACATGGTTTGTACCCGATCATGACTTGTGTGCGTGGTAAGCACCTATGAGTAATTTAGGGGGCTCTATACTTCTTTTATTTACTTTGATTCTTTATATCTTGTATAACCTTTTACGGTATTGAAATTGAGTTCTTTTTCCCATCTCTCCGGTTTTGTCTTGACCTTTTTTTTTCAAGGACTAGGAGCTCAAAAGAGGAAGTCGACCCACCATGACCAAGGCCAACGGACGTAACGCAGCCCGCAAGCTTGTGCGCCTGCGCCGCAAGAACCGCTGGGCTGATAAAAAGTGGAAGAAATCGCACTCCTTCGTCGCGCAGAAGGCCAACCCCTTTGGCGGGTCCTCGCACGCAAAGGGTATTGTGTTAGAGAAGATCGGTGTTGGGGCTAAGCAGCCTAACTCCGCTATTCGTAAATGCGTTCGCGTGCAGCTGATCAAGAACGACAAGAAGATCATTGCCTTCGTGCCCAACGATGGTTGTCTTCACTTCATTGAGGACAACGACGAGGTGTTGGTGTCCTTCTTTGGTCGTTCCGGCCATGCTGTCGGTGATATTCCCGGAGTCCGTTTCAAGATCGTCAAAGTGTCCAGCGTTGGCCTGTATGCTCTGTACCGTCAGAAGAAGGAGAAGCCACGCACATAAGCAATCAAGTGCAAGCGACTTAGCTGAACTTCAACCCTTGCGATGTGTACGCTAAATATTTCTCTCTTATGAGTAAAAAGTCATTTTGATTTTGTAATTTCTTTGCCTTTTAGCCCTATATATATATATATATACTATGTGAAAAAGGGAATAGATGCAATTCATCATTTTCAATCTCTCGTTACTTAATGCTTACACATATGGATATACATTATTTATGCTCATTAACTTTGTGGAAAAAATATCAACCCCTTCTTTATATTATTTCTATTGCTATTCTTCACATTACCTATAGGAAGTCGACCCACCATGACCAAGGCCAACGGACGTAACGCAGCCCGCAAGCTTGTGCGCCTGCGCCGCAAGAACCGCTGGGCTGATAAAAAGTGGAAGAAATCGCACTCCTTCGTCGCGCAGAAGGCCAACCCCTTTGGCGGGTCCTCGCACGCAAAGGGTATTGTGTTAGAGAAGATCGGTGTTGGGGCTAAGCAGCCTAACTCCGCTATTCGTAAATGCGTTCGCGTGCAGCTGATCAAGAACGACAAGAAGATCATTGCCTTCGTGCCCAACGATGGTTGTCTTCACTTCATTGAGGACAACGACGAGGTGTTGGTGTCCTTCTTTGGTCGTTCCGGCCACGCTGTCGGTGATATTCCCGGAGTCCGTTTCAAGATCGTCAAAGTGTCCAGCGTTGGCCTGTATGCTCTGTACCGTCAGAAGAAGGAGAAGCCGCGCACATAAGCAATCAAGTGCAAGCGACTTAGCTGAACTTCACGATCGGTAAAATCTGGAGGGGTAACAATTCTGGTGTGGACATTCCATCATTTTTTTCAGACAATTATATTTTTACTATAACAAACAAATATCTCGGCATGTGTCCCTAGTTTCTTCCTTACAGTGGCTGTGGGGAAGAATTGTATTTTGGGTTGCACTGATGAGGCAAAAGTAAAGTCTCACGCAGCACCCCCTCCCTCCCCAAAAGATAAAAGGTATATGACCAAATCAAATACATTAACAAGACATCCTACTCTTTTTCTGTATTTTTTCATTAGGTCTTTCCTGGCCGTTTTACAAGGGTCATCATTTTTTTTCGATACTTTTAGAAGACAAAAAAAGAAACAGCAAACGCACCCTTGGTGAAAAGTAAAACTAAAAGGAAGTATTGTTTTAAGGGTTAAACACATTGATTCGCTGAAAAGCTTCTCTTGCTTGTTTACAGTAAATAATTCTAAAGAGGGTTGCAATTTCGATTTTTTTTGTATTAGGAGTTCTTCTCTATAATCCTTGGCAAAATATAGAGTGTGTAGAAATAATTGTCTGCAAAAGGTAAATAAAAATAGATTTACTGAACTCAGATAAAAGGATAAATATTTGAAGAGAAAAGGACTTTTTCCGTCATATTTCTTTTCAGTTTAACATTCTAATTTCCATAACAGATATCTCCACAGTCGGAACTGTACATTTATTAATACAAACCTATATAGTTCCTGAAAAGGAGAAGAGAGTAGCCATAAGTGTAGGGGAGAGCTTTTTTCCATTGTTTAAAAAGAACTATGGCGGGCCGATACGAGAAGCAGGAGAAGATCGGTGAAGGTACCTATGGCGTTGTGTATAAGGCGCGCGACACGGTCACCAACGCCATTGTTGCCCTCAAACGCATCCGACTAGATACGGAAGAGGAGGGCGTTCCCTGCTCGGCTATTCGCGAGATCTCCTTATTAAAAGAACTTCGCCACGAAAATATTGTCAAGCTGCTCGATGTCTGCCACAGTGAACGCCGGCTGACGCTGGTGTTCGAGCACCAAGACATGGATCTCAAGAAGTACCTGGATCACAACGGTGGGAATCTGGACGCCGCCACGGTACAGCATTTCATGCATGACCTCCTCAAAGGTGTACGATTTTGCCACCAACGCAGCGTCCTGCATCGGGATTTGAAGCCGCAAAACCTACTCATTTCGCGTGAGAAGGAGCTTAAGTTGGGGGACTTTGGCCTTGGGCGTGCGTTTGGAATCCCTGTGAAGAAGTTCACCCACGAAGTGGTAACACTGTGGTACCGCTCACCGGACGTGTTGCTTGGCTCCACGCAGTACGGGACGCCGGTGGATATTTGGTCTGTAGGCTGCATCTTTGCAGAGATGACGACGGGCACGCCACTTTTCGCGGGCCGAAACGACGCTGATCAGCTGTTGCTGATTTTCAAGTTTTTGGGTACCCCGAACAGCAAGACCTGGCCATCTCTTAACCAGTACCCGAATTCCACCAATATGCTCTCGAAGCCTGAGTTCCTCCAGAACATGGTGGCTAAATGTGATACTATACTTCGGACCTCATTGGGGTATGAAAAGCTCGGCCCGGAAGGGATAGATTTGCTGAAGGGATTGTTACGGTATGAGCCGTCAGAGCGGTTAACGGCCGAGGAGGCTCTCAACCATCCTTACTTTCGTGTTGATTTCTAAAATAAAGCGTGCATTGCATGTACTTTGGTGCGTTAATGACTAGAAAAGGAATGCGAATATTCTTTAAGACTTCCATCACATTGGCACATTCTCTTTTCTTTCTTTTGTTTATTTACTTCTTAAATACCATGATCTAACTTCAGAGATTCGATTTATTCTCCTATAATATGCATATAGTTATGAGCACATGTATTAGATCTCAGGCGGTGGAAATGAAAAGGCGCTTTTCGGGTCTTACAGTTCTGATGATTATCGAGGATGGTGGTTGCAATTTGACTGGCTAAGGCAGGTGTTCTGATGAGAAAAGTCTCAATATTTACCTGTTTGTGTGTGTGGATATGTGTAAGGGGAGAATCTTGGGGTATATGATAAGTATCTTTCAGTACGTATCACGAATAACATGATACCATTAAACCTGAAACGTTAGCTTCCTTTTTAATTATACTATTTAGATTATGCATGTATTTTGCTCTTTTCTACCCTTTTTGTCTCATTGGCAAAATGAATTTAAATGTTGTATTTGATCAAAACATCGTAACGAATTAAACGACTTGTAGTCCATTTTTCGTTGCGTGTTTGTTTGGGTTCAGATTGCGTAACCATTTTTTTGCTGGTATATCATGATATGCCATAGTGTCACTTAAGGGATTTAGTGTAAGGCTATTCCCAATTAATAGCTTTGTTCTTGCTTCACTTTTCATTTTCCCAACTAAATGTTTAAACAAAAATTTTTATTCTGTCATTGCTCTGAAATAATATTAATCTATTAGCAATACTAGGTAATATATAGTAGAAATACCCTTAACGTCATTTCAAGCACGAAAAAAATATTTGTAAGCCGATAAACAGTTTAACCTAAACAAGAAGCAGCAACAATTATGTCCACCAAGGCAATGAAGAGAGGCAACGAAAGTAAGAAGGATACAAACACGCAGACGGATGTACGACTAAGCAATATCACCTCCGCGCGTGCTGTGGCCGACTGCATCCGCACCTCCCTTGGTCCACGCGGGATGGATAAAATGATCATTCAACCCAAGGATGAGACCCTCATCAGTAACGATGGGGCCACCATTCTTTCCAAGCTGAAGGTCACTCACCCTTGTGCAAAGATGATAGTTGATCTATCCAAGGCGCAGGATATCGAGGCAGGTGATGGTACGACATCAGTTGTGGTTATCTGCGGTGCGCTTCTCCACGCGGTTGAGAAGCTCCTACATCAGGGCATTCACCCAACCCAGATATCGGAATGCTTCAAAGTCTGCGGACAGATGGCGGAGCAGGTGCTAGAGGAAATGAGCACGAAGATTGACATTGAGGATCGTAACACCCTCATTCAGGCCGCTATCACCTCCCTTAACTCCAAGGTAATTTCTCAGAATAGTGGCCTTCTGGCGCCGATGGCGGTGGACGCTGTCCGTAAAATTATCCGCCCGAATGGGGATGTCGACCTACGTGACATTCGCGTCACTTCCGCGCTCGGTGGCACGATAGATGAATCGATCCTTATTGACGATGGGATGGTGATCAAACAAAAGGCCTCCCGCGTGGCCGGGGGACCGGTGCGTATTCAGAACGCCACCATCGCACTTATCCAATTTCAGCTGTCGCCCCCGAAGACGGACATGGAGAGTACAGTAACGATCACCGACTACGCGCAAATGGACCGCGCCTTGAAGGAGGAGCGTAAGTATCTACTCACGCTGTGCAAAAAGATTAAGGACGCCGGGGTTAACGTTTTGCTTGTTCAGAAGTCCATTCTGCGCGACGCCGTTACGGCGCAATCTTTAGACTTCCTCGCCAAGATGAAGATCATGGTGGTGACGGATATCGAGCGCAATGACATCGACTACATCACGAAGACCCTTAGCTGCTTGCCCGTGGTGAATGTTGACAACCTGACACCGGATAAATTCGCCCACGCAGCGTTAGTCGAGGAGGAGGGAACACCAAACGGCAAGGTGATTAGAATCACAGGGGTGAAGCCTCCGGCGTCGCCGTGCCGCCACTTTGGTAAGACGGTTTGTTTCTTCCTGCGTGGTAGCAACGCGCTGGTGCTCGAAGAGGCTGAGCGTGCCCTACACGACTCTCTTTGTGTCATACGATCTCTTGTGAAGAAGCGCGCGATTATGCCCGGAGGTGGGGCGGGCGAAATTGAGGTTTGTCTGAAGCTTGGAAAGTACGCACGGGAGCGGGCCGAGGGCATCCAGACCTTCTGTATGCGCACATACGCGGACGCATTTGAGATGATCCCGTACACGCTGGCCGAGAACGCCGGCATGCAGCCGATTTACATTGTCACAGAACTGCGTAACGCGCACGCTTCAGGCCACCATAATGCTGGTGTTAACGTGCGTGACAGCTGCGTGACGGATATGTTGGCTGAAAAGGTTGTCCAGCCCCTATTGGTGTCTACGTCAGCGGTCCGTTTGGCTACTGAGTGTGTTATGATGTTGCTCAAGATTGATGACATCATCATGACTCGGATGTAGGACCAGGGGTGCTGGTAAAATCACATAGATGGATGCGGGGGTCGCAAAGATTTATTATTATTATTACTATTAAAAAAAATAATTGTACTTACGTAGCTGTCTATATTTTAAATATCTGTGTTTCTCGTTAAGTATCAATCTGGAAAATGGAAAAGGGAAAAGGCGAAAAAAAAAGGTAACAGGGGGAGAAAATAGCTGAATTTTAACGATACCACGCGATAGCTTTCACAAGCATTCGGCTTAACTAAATGAGAACAATGTTGGTAAAAAGACTAATTGATTGGGCGGTAAGTACCCTTTCTTTACGCATGTCGCTTTGTAAGTGTTTGCCCCTGTAAATTTTTTTGCGTTCACATTGTCTATATGGATCTAACTTTTTATCACTACCATACTTCGTTTCTCTTACTGCCTTTTATAAAAAAAAAATAATTATAGTTTCTCAATTCTAAATGCAATCGATTTTGGACGGCTCTTTTTTCTACGCATGTTTTCATTAAATTAGTGTTGTACCGACTGATTTTGATCTTGCGAGCTTCATTAGTTGAGTATCAAACAGTTTCTTAAGCCGCCATTCCCGACGACTCTTTTCGATGAACTGGGTTCATTACTAGCCCGGGGTGTGTGTTTAGTTTTTTTTATTTTACCGAATCTGGATTTTCCACCACTGCCTCTGGAGCGCGGATGGTCTAGGTGGTTATGACGTCGCTTTAACACGGCGAAGGTCTCGGGTTCGAATCCCGATCTGCGTACTTTTCTACATACAACGTAAATTGAAATTATGTCCAACTGTGATCCTAAAAACCGGTCCTTCAGATCCGGTGTGGTATAGTGGCTAGAACAAGCGGCTCTCACCCGCTAGACCCGGGTTCGATCCCCGGCACCGGAATTTTTTTCCAATCGACAATTTTCATCCTTCGGCGGCGCGTGTGATCGAAGAAAAAGGGGAGAGAAGGCAGCCATTATCAAAGAGGGGGCCCCCGCAGGGCTTCGGCTAACGCCGGTCCTAGCATTTAGTTTCAGTACAACATACTTCATCTGAACGTTTTAAATTTTTGTAATAGTTACCAATCTTTTTTTCTATCTATTCATCCTTATCATCGTCTTCATCGGTCTCTGAAAGGGATGATCGTGAGAATGAAGAATTTATGCTGCTGCCATTAATATTTTTTTGCTCATTGCTGCTGCTGTCATCACCTTGATTCACTTCCTCGCCGCTTTCGTTTTCATCATCGTCGTGTGGCAACTGCACATGCCCGCCGCTGAGTTTGCGTAGAAGTGGGATAACCTCGTTATTCATAAAAGTATTGAGCCTGTCAGTAAAGAGGTTCGTAATATGGAGGAATGAGGACTCATTCAGCCAACCGTGGCGGTTCTGACGCCTCTCTAGAGGCATATTTTCTTCACTCATGTTGTGTAGCGCGATCTCCCGAACAGCTGCGTCGTCCATGACATCGATGAGCTGAAACGGCGCCCAAAGCAGACCAGTGGACACTATATGACACATCTGTTCCACCAAGGTTGACTTGACGACTTTCTGCTCCTGCTTTTCGTACTCAGTAATGTTGTCTTGATAGGCATCCAGTAGCTGCTTAATGGCTTGCTTGATATGAACCGAGCGCGACAGATCTCGCAACTGTATCCCTATTTCAGAGCGACGCAAGAAGCGGAGTGAGAAACGCTGATAAATAACGCTCTTCGCAGAGGCATAAGGATTGAACCCCAGACGCACCCGAAGACGGTGGAAGGGACCGGTGGTAATGTTGTATGTTAACGCAAGGATAACTTGCTTGTTAAAATACATACGCGGACATCGACCAGTTTTTAGGACTGCTGCCATCAAATCCTTAATCATCCATGCAGGTCGATGCTGAAGTATGGTTGCAATTACTCGCACTTCGGCAGGGTCCTCTTCGGACAACCCTGTTGGCGAGCACTTGATTTCCGCGAGATACTGTCTCTGCGCGACAGACTGCTCTGGCGGTAGGTTCGGGTCATCAGGTTGCACAAGCACATTGAGCACCATAGAAAAGTTCCTTGCGTCTTCGAGAATAGATTCATCTGCAACTCCCGCGCCGGGTTGTTGAATTTTATACGAAGTTGGCATGACGGTGCGATTGACGCGTTGTCCCATGAAGTATGGCACTTCGGAACGCGCTTTGGCCCCGATGTAGCGCGATGGTGGGAATATATCCCCACTGCAAAGCATGGGCGCTTGTTTCTGCTGCTCTGTTGTAAAAAGCGAAAAGGTGAAGTCTGCAGGGCGTGGTAAGGTCACTTCTCGAGAAACCACGCCCACGACGTCGGCGCGGGCACGACGCTCCCAACGATTTTGTGGAGTCATCCCCCCACCTTCCTCAGCATTGCTGTCTGACCACGGCAATTCTTCTTCGCGCTCGATTTCGCCTGTTGTGGCGTTCCGATACCGTCGAACACGCTTCTGTCGCGTGAGGCGCACGAGTAAATCGTTGCGGTGATACCCATGCAACAACAGCTGCGGCTCAAGTGAAGGAAACACATCCAGACGATGAAGGCGTGCATAGGATGTGCCAGAATCACTACCCTGTTTGTCAGTCGTTTCGCTAGACCCAGGGGCACTAATAGGGCTTCCCCAATTGGTACTCCGCCAGCCACTAAAAACGGGATCACACTTGTACTCGTCTGGATCCCCAATCTTCAGATTTATGCCTTGCACAGACTTCTCGTTACGATTGGCATTTCCTTCCACATACTTCGTTCCGAAACATTCTGCATGAGCTTGCGGAAGAGCTGAGTTTCTTTGACCGTTTGCCACTTCGACTTTCTGGTTGCTGTGACTCATAATGTTGCTTTTGCTGACATGAAGCTTTGGTGTTGGCGGTGCGCAATGCAGACATGGTACTAGAAAGGAAGGAGGAATGAACGCTTCCACCTCACGCTGATTTTCATTGACCTCCTCTGGGGAGATGCTGCGTGGTAAACAAAAAGGAAGCTCGATTGAAATAAATGAGCGGTACGATGGTTCTGATATTGTATCCCTTGGATTAGTTGCATTTGTCATAGGAAAGAATCTGTGCTAGCCGGAATATTGATAACCCCCCAAAAGATATTAATGAGGATACCTAAACAGGTCCACTTTAAATGTTGTTATTACAACTTTATGATTCTATTTCGTTGACTTTATATATACGAAAAAGAAATTACACAGCACATGTAATTTGGAGGAAAGAATTCAAAGAGTGGAACCAACCTTCCCTCAAAACCAAATCTCTGCACGTTTAGATTCAGTTCTTATTAAATAGAAATTTGTATCCTTCTTTTATTTTGATGTACATTCATGAACCAGTCTTTAAAACAATCTAATCTAAATGGATAATCTTCACTTTTTTTTTTACATCCTACTTCCGCATAAACCACAACATCAGAAGTACCAAAATACAATGAAAAAAACTCAGACAAATAACATTTCCCTTTACTCTTAGTTTTTGGAAGATCGTTATTGTAATTGATGAATAAAATTATCTATATGTGAACAAAGTAATATCAAAGTTTTAGCTCTTGCACACTACTGAGGGCAGGAGGCTCGTCGGTAGGATTTTAAGGGGCGTCTACAGTCTTCGTTTTCACGGGTGAATCCAGATGTGTTGTGGCGGCTAAAGGTCTGAGCGCTCATTTTTTCGCTTTAAGTCGACCTAAATGCACTCGAAAGGCTCTCTGAATCATCCTAACAGCCTCATCACAGGTACACTTTGACTTCTCCAACTCACGCCGCGCGCGAAGGGCCTTCACACGACGACACGCCAGCGTACTCCTCCATGCCGACTGTATCGTCGTCGCGGCCATGTCCAGCGCGTCCTCCACAATGATCCGCTCGCGGCGTTCCTCCCAGAGGCGCGCGTGCTGCTGCTCCCAGGCGCGTCGGACGAGCCATGCCCGAATGTGGCTCTGCAGAAGCCGCGCCACGGCCTCAAGTCGGGCGGCTTCCTTGGCGAGGACCCGCTGGCGGTGCGCACGCCAATGGCGCTGGACGGTGGACGCGGCACTGCCCAGGACCTGCCGGGCCCACTTTCCCCTCGTCCGGCGATGGGCTCGATAAGCCCGTTGGATGATGGCGGCCGTCTGGTGTAAGTGCAGGGGCATTCGATCAAAGGGCTCTGGGGAGCCCCTCCCGCCACTTCGCGAATGCAGCGCCCTTTGCGAAAACAATCCCCGCACTACCACACTCGGATCCAACGTAAGGCAAGACCACTCTTGGTGGCTTTCATCGCATTCGCTCCTTTCTTGGGGTTTCTCCGCGACGACGTCGGGTGCGGTGAACACCAACTGCTGTAGTTCTTTCTGTTGTTCGTCATGGGCCTGATTTAAAATGCGACGTTGGGTCTCCTCGTTGGATAAGACACCACGAAGTGCTTTTTGTATACTAAACACTGCATTGATGACATCTACCACTGCACCAGGGCAGGGGGGTCGGCTCGAAGAGGGACAGTAGTCTTGAGGACTATCGTTGCTTGGTGACACCAACACCGTAGACGACATTTTGCTTTCGTCGTGAATATAGACCTCTGAGTCCTCTACCTCTTTTTCTCTATTCCCTTCCATTAATTCCGAATCGGCATAATGTTTCTGCAGACATAAGGATGTCAACAGGTGGCAAGGGGGAACAGATGGGGCTGCTTGGTCTTCCTGCAGACACAACTTCGAAGCAATGCGATCTGCCAAAATATACTGCCACCAGCGTTGGATCTTTATGATTTTTTCCAACCGTGTTGCTTGTTTCTCCCGTAGAACCGCCGCACGTTCAGAGGCCATCATCTTACGCCAGAAGCACTGAATCTGAATGGCCGCCTTGTTGAGCCGCTCGCGCCGCCGACACCGCATTCGTATTTCTCGTTTGAGAGAAAGGCCAAAGCGGTGACATCGCCATGCTCGTTGAATGCGTGTGGCTGCGTCGGCCTGGCGCTTTTGCTCAGCGTAGATACCCACCATCACTCGCCGCGTGACGTGTCCACGCCAGACGGCCTGGATCATGCTGGCGGCCTCGTCTGAACGCAGGCGGATAATCTTTTTGTTATACTGGGCGCGGTAGTAAACAACCATATCCTTCATCACGCGACTCTTGCGCATCCCGCGGTACGCGTGCTGAATGACCCTGACTGCATCTTGCTGTCTTTGAAGTTTCTTCTCGCTACGAAGCTTCGAAAGTTGTTTCCTGGCAAGATAGAAGCGGGAGATAAGGGTGGCTGCAAGGATTTCTCGCCGCCGTCGTTCAACTTTCATTTTAGCGAATGCAAATCGCCACGCACGCTGCAAGATGCGCGCGGCTGCAGTCCGTATAGCCAGCTCCATCTCATTGCGTATGAAGGTGGCGTGAAGTTCCTTTTCACGAGCCATTTTTTTCCGAGCAATATACCCTTGTGCTACACGTTGCCAAGTCTTAGCAACGGTGTCATGGATTAAATAGGTCCTCTGCATACTCGCTACCATCAACTTACTTAACTGTGCTTTACTAAATGCCTGAAGGACAAGAATAGACTCCGCGCGCAGCCGCTCTAGGCGCTGTTTGCGCAGCAATTCCGCGTGATACTGCGCAAACTCGCGTGCTTTTTTTTCTTCCCAGCAGATCCGAACCCAAGTTTGAATTTTGCGCGCGGCGCGTTCTTGACGGTGCGCATTGCGGATGGCGATGTACTCTCTTCGGATCAAACACATGCGGTACCACCTCTGAATGACTCTTGCACGACGGTCCATGCGGGCCTTTTCGGCTTGTAGCCGCTCAAACTTTATGACGGCAACTCGACGACGCCAGAGGCACTGTATGCGCGTCGCTTCGTTGTTCAACCGGCGCTGATATGACTCGTGTAAGAGCTGCAAACACCGAGAACGGCAGTAACGAGCGGCAAGGAGTGCACGACACGCGGCTTGGATGACGGTCAGCCGACGCTGACTGATCGCGGACCGCTGGAACTGATCTCGGCAGTAAGCTCGGTAATAGCTAAACCACGCGCGAGTCAGCAGGCCGCGAACAAGAGACTGAATGCGAACCGCCGCATTGTTGCGGCGCTGAAGCAGTGCACGTGCCTCATCCTCGATTTTCTGTGCGCGATAATGCGAAAAGGCACGCTGAATGCAGCGGACGGCAGTTTTTCTTCTGAACTGGCGAATTTCGTCCTCTCGTCGGTTGGCCTCCGCGATAGTGGCTCGCATGACTTCACATCGTCGGAGGTAGTCTCGGTAGCCCCGTTGGATTGTCCGCGCCGCCATAAAATAGCGCCGCTGCCTTGCAGGGATGGCTCGCCGAATCGCGAGTCGACGTAGAAAAATTCGGGCTCGCGCCTGAATGATCTTGCAGGCGATCGTTTCGCGCTTCTCTCGCTCCACTCGCAATTTCTCCTGTTCCTCCGCCAGAATCCGGTACCGCTCGCGCTGCTTGACCAAAAAGACTAATACCACCTTCTGCAGGGTTAGAACAGCCTTCACAACGGTTCTTAACCACTCACGAGCCATTACCCCACGCCACACGCGTTGAATTTGCGTGGCCGCAATGGAGCAGCGCCTCTGCTCCTCCATTTTTGTTTTGTTGACCATTTCTTCATAAATATGTTCAGATAGTTTTGTGTCGTGCTCGTTCTGCTCTCGAATTTGGCGCTTCTGTGCGTCCTTTCGAATCTTCTCCTGTAAGCGTTTTGCCCGCGCTGCTTGCTCCCGCTCTATCTCGCGCTTCGACGTAAATGTGGACTTCCGAGCGACCTTTTGTGAGAGGGAGAGTTCATTTGCCATATTCAGAGAGATCGACGTCTTCGGTTCTTTCACCTGCTGGGTGTTCCCGAAGATGCGCCGAACCAAACGATGTTGCATGTACCCGGTACCACTTTGCGATGTCGCGGGTGCGCCGGTGGGGGGTTGTATTTGTAACGGCGCGAGGCGATTGTGATGGGGGGAGTGCCCGGTCTTCGCAAGGGCGTTGGGCAGTGAGGGTGCTGATGGGACGGACGGGGGCAGGTACGAAGGGGGCAAGGGGATTGTCTTGGCAGAGCCAACAGGGAGGGAAGGGGGGCCGGACAGGGGGGCGAGCACCGGTGGGA